TTTCTGATTAGAAAATTATTGTGAAGTCTGGTGCCGCCGTTATAAAGAAGTTTGAGAATGAGGTGAAAATAGCGAAGAAGTTTTAAAGTGAAGTGAAAATAGTAGTGCACTTGGTCATAAAAAACATTCCCACATGATAAAAGAAATTAAATGGACGTGGAGCTGGGTTTTCAATAAGCTATTATTTTCAACCTGATGATTTAGCTGCTTTGTTTTGTTTTAATCCCATGAACAGAACCAAGTCAAGGAAATCCAGATACTCTATCGCATGACCGGCTACCGGACCTTCATAACCAAATTAGAAAAAATATATTTCATTATTTTTATAATAAATTCAAACAATACTGTGGCTAAGAACATAAAAACCCAACAGAAGCAAATCTTACACAATTAGAATTCACATGTATGTATAGTAGGGCACACAACCGATTACACGTTCATAAATATATGAAATGGAAATTATGAACAGGTTTCCAGTGTTATTGAAGGTAAAAAGAAAAACATTTTGCCAGTCGGAAGTGATTTCAACGATCAGTTTGTTGAATTTAGATTTTGTTCTGGTTTGGGATATTAAATAGTCAATAATTTATTCATGCACGCGTTAAGAAAACTAATGAAGAAAAATAATTAACAAAATATTAAGGCTTTCATCCCACGACTTCTCACAGGACAACTTAATTAAAGACTCTCTGGCCTCCAGTGTAGAAATTCAGTTTTTGTGAACGAAATCTCGTCTAAACATTGAACATTAACTGAAATATTGATCATGCCTGGAAATATTGAACATAAATAATGTGAGTGATTCCATCCTTAAAGCTGAATCATATCGATTGCAACTACCCAGAATGAGAGTGAGTTAAGATTACTTTACCCAATACGTTATTTAATTTTTGGATGATACTGTTCCCAGTTGAAAGCCTATGATTTAATTATGGCATAATCTAATCGTAATCCTAGGCGTTTACCTGATAAAAATAAATGTACATGCACCTAGACCATCCAAAAGTCAGGAGAGCATAAATCAAACACATATTTTCTACAATAATTCGTTATTTTTTACAAAACTTCTCTTTAACTTCACTTCTTGTTGTTTGTTTGTCTGCCACAAATCTAATAATCGATATTTAACACACTTCTACCTTCAATCGATCTGAAATTTTGCACCCTCGCGTAAAGTTGGAGACAATGCATGAATCAATTGACAGAATAAATAATATTGAAAATTAAAAAATATATTTTTTTCAATATTAAAAAATTGACAAAATAATTTTGTCAGCTACAAATCTTATAATTGATATATGACACACTTCTACCTGTCCAATTGATCTGAAATTTTGCACACTTGTGTGAAATCGGAGGCAATGCACGAATCAATTGACAGAATAAATGATTTTGAAAAAATTATATATTTGAAATAAAATTAGAAATTCTTTGTACATCTGTAACATTGGAGACACTGGATTCTTTAGAAGTGTTGTCTTTAAAAATTAATTTTTAAACGTATATTATTGCTAATGACCTAACATTCAGTAAATAATATCATTAATGGAGGTCTGACGAGAACATTTACTCGCGCTCACAACAGATTGCACGCCGGAGACGTCATTAAAGACTTTAGGACAAATGCAAGATAAATCTTAAGGTCCACCACAAGATTAAGGGTTCGCCACAAGATTAAGGGTTCGCCACAAGATTAAGGGTTCGCCACAAGATTAAGGGTTCGCCACAAGATTAAGGGTTCGCCACAAGATGTCTCTCTTGTATAATTAAGTCATCTCACCCCCGCTAGAGAGTTTATACAGCGCCGGTAATGCGCTTACACAGCAGGAAGGATATTACAACATTTAATTTCAAAGCTAAATGGATTTAGATATCGCATTAAAAGCTAGATGGCTTTGGATATCTTATTAAAACACGGTGCAGAGAGAAACCCTATAATGTTATAATAGTTTTTATTATGGGGAACATAAGCGATATACCTGAATTTCTAGTCACTGGACATAGATTATTCAGGATTAAACTGAATTCCCATGTTATACGCGAAATTCAGAACATAAAATAAAATATTACTCAACTACACAAGTATGCCTTGTTGAATAGAATTTTCTGGATTATGAATTGGATGTTATGAATGATATGAATATAATTTTCAAACGGAAATTTATTTCGCACGACTTAACATTACAGTAGCAGGCCCCTTTAAACAGTACTCTCTCGAATATGAGAACGATTTTATTGAGTAAATATAGCATATAATATAAAATAAGTAAGTATAGTAAATATTGACATGTGGCATGTTTATTAGTGGCCGTCACTGCAGTACGGCCGGTCTGCAGACCACGGAAGACATGTGGCATGTTTATTAGTGGCCGTCATAACTTGTATAAACCAAATTGAAGAAAGTTTCTACTTGTGTACTATTATACTGTTTAAGAGGCAATAAAAAATAATTTATTTTTGCTCTAGGTTCCAAATTCAAGATAAGATAATGGAAGAAAGTAATGTCGTTCCTTTATTTTCGCAAACATCCGCTCAAGTTCGCTTCAATTTCTAAGACATGCATAGCTACTGTATGATCACGCATATTTTTAACAACACTTCTCTTTTACTTCACTTCTAGTTTGTTGGTCTGCTTCAAATCTTATATAATCGATATTACTTTAACAAATTTCTAACAGTCCAATCGATCGGAAATTTTGCACACTTGCGTAAAGTCGGAGACAATGCATGAGTCAATTGACAGAATAAATAATTACAAAATTTTTTATTTTATTATTAAAAAATCGAAAAAAATTCTTTTTAATACAAAAAAATAAAATAAGAAATTCATTGTACATGTGTAACATCGGAGACACTGGCCTCTTTAGAAGTGTTGTCTTTAAAAAGCGATTTTTAAACGCATAATATTTAAATGAAAGGAAGATTATTTAGTTAAACGCAGAATACATAAGTTCCATTTAAAGGAGTTGCGTTCTATAGTCGTGAAAGATTATTGATTCACGGAACGATGGAACTAACTCAGCAGTTTCGCTGTTTGAGGCCCACACAGACTTTAGTACGACAATTGTTCCACATGACGAGTGCGTAACTTCTTCGCTTGACAAGTTTCTTGGAATTTGCATGCCCAACAATAAAAGAGAACCATATAGTTTGACATGGATTTTTAATCGTACTGATAAAACATTAATACATTCAAGCAACGCAAACTTTTGAATGTACTAATTAGCAAAAAGAGAATTTTGATAGATCGGGAAGAAATAAACTGCTCAAGCAGTAACTAATATATTCAAATAATAACGCAATATCAGGAATCAGGCTTGCTTCTCACGAGCAAGCTGTGAAAACCTTCGGCTAGTGCTATTCTTGATGAGTAAAAAAATGTGTTTCTCCCACAATTGATCGTACCTTATATAACTAAAGGTCTAACCTGAGAAAAATCAATTCATCACCTAAGGGATCAGCAATGACCACATAAACATGAATCCTAACATAAAAGATACTAAATGAAAAAACTCCTTAGCCGAGATCAGCCATGAAAATGGATATGAAATAAAAAAAATTAAATTTTTTGGCCCAGTAATTGGTTTAGTGATTTGAAGGCATTTTATTAGTACCTACTTACAATAAGTAATGAAAAATCTACAAATTTTAGTTTGATAATGTAATTTGAAGTGAGAAAATGACAAAAATTTCATAGACTTAGAGACCAGAAAACATTCTAGCAACAGAACACTCTTTGGTGCTCCAAGTTATTTTTTTACATTATCCAGCATTAGATTCCAAGCATATCCCATAAGATTCCATGCGATATCACATATTAAACTATGCGTTACACAATTCAACTACCAACATCATGATGAAGACCACGACCCTGCTCACAAATAACAGCTGCGTTCCTAACTGTTGCCACACGCAGCTCAATAGGTAATCAGCGCGGTTCGGCCTTCCATCTGAATTGGATACTGTCCAGAGGCTGGTTGGAGAGACCCAAATCTCATTAGTAGTAAAATTATTGCAGTCTCCTCCCATGTTATATCTGATATAGCTGCTTCTTACACTGTACATATGGTGACGTGATGACAAAGCTTGAAGAACTTACAGACAATGTTGTGGACGTGTGTACAGTATACTAAGCACATGGTATTAACTTGAACGTACAGCGAGTAAATGTCGTTAGCCTGGGCAGTAGACAAGCACTTGGTCGTAGACAATAAGTTCAGTCGCTCAGCTGCCACCAGAGTATAATATTTAGTATATTGATCGAATGAGTATCTAAAAAAATTAGGCTATGCTTGAATGTTATTAAGTTTGAAAACCTACGAGCAGAACAAAACGCGTTGCCACCACAGTTTTCGCAATCTAACCACAACCCATCCTGCCGTTTTATCACATGTTGGGTTGCTTTGCGTCTGATTTTGCACTATGATCCGTACTTTTAGATCGTTGAGCAACAATTTGAGCGTAGCTGTGAATAGAACTACTCTCATAATGTTCATCCACATCGTTGCTAATAATTAAATTGAAGTAGAGAAAAAATATGCAGAATTGTTTTTGCGAAGACTGATCAAGTTTTTCTCCCTTTTTCAACGACGGGAAGTAGCTATGTCAGTCAACGCGGCTACAGCCAAGCAGTTGTTAGATCCGTGCATACGCTCTACGTTCCGATATTTGCTTGATCAAGCCCTTACCGTGCAGAGGAACATAAAAATTGAGAAGCAAAAGGAATGCAGGACGGATTTTCACATTGGAGAAAGAGGTGCAGTATTTCATTCGATCATTTTAGTGACCGCCGTTTCTGCTGCTCTTTTAGCTATCGGCGAAAAATAACGAAATCTCTTGATGAAGGATGACTCACAAGTAACGCGTAGCAGGATTGCGCTGTAGTGGGCGTCCCACTTAAAAAACACGCAAATTACATGCACCGTTGATAAAGAAACACTCACAAGTAACGCGCAGCATGATGGCGTTGGAGTGACTGAGCCATATGGATGAAGCAAGACTCACAAGTAACGCGCAGCATGATGGCGTTGGAGTGACTGAGCCATATGGATGAAGTAAGACTCACAAGTAACGCGCAGCATGATGGCGTTGGAGTGACCGTCCCCCTCGGTGTTGGACGCCAGGCAGGTGTAGAGGCCAGCGTCCCGCCTCGTCACGGAGCTCAGGCGCAGAGTGTCCCGAGCGCCGCGGGTGTTCCCTGACACTTTGCCCTGAGCCGTGGGTGCATGAGGTTGTTATTTAAATAATCTTTATTATTCATAAACGTTAAATTATATCAATATAAAAAGTATCAAAATATATTTCGTTATTTAATAGGTGAACAAAGCAATGTTTTACTGTGGGGGTGGGGAAGGGGAAGGGGAATGGCCAAATGATTGTTTTGGTGGACGACGGGCATTTTCTTTTCCCCGAAGCCGGAAAAACTTAAATATATTTGTTGGTTATCACATAATTTCCCAGACTTAAGTTTTTGTAGTCATTTTCAGTTATTTTGTGGATCCGAACGTAGATGTGGTTTTAAGAATTATCAATTTTGCATTATTGTCTGTCGCAAGTTCACTATTCATATTTGCCACTGAAAAAATACATTTTTCTAAATTATATTAATGATTTTATTTATAGTTACTGATGAAAAAGTAACATTGAACTACTTTAACCCGTTCCATTCGAGAAAAAAAGTTTTTGGATTAGGTCGAATCGATATTGTTTAGTTCTTAAGAAGTTCTTAAATTGTTTATGAATGTGAAAAAAAATTAATTGTATAATAGGAGATTCGACCTGGAACAATATGGTACCGCTAGGATGATGCGAGTCATAATATGTCTCATTCGTTTTCTTATTAATTATTGACTTAATAACAAATTTTGTTATTTAGTTTTAATCAAATAAAATATCATATCACCGAAAGAAATCATTGCAAATGATATGGCATAGATCAATGCACTCCTAAGTCACCGCTGCTTATATGCAGCATTTTAGTCGCATATGCATACGGACCTCAACCAAAAGGCTATTTGGCGCTACACGATGTACTACCCATATCGTAAATGCTCATGTTTGTTTCCTTTTACACCCACGTTTCCTAATTATTTCATCATGACTTCGTCTTTAGATATTTTTTTCGTGGAGTAACTAGTGTAAGATAAGTTTTCTTTTTTATATGAGGCCGATTGGGACAAAATTTCCAATATTTGTTCAAATTTATCTAAATTAACAGCAGCACAATGCAACCATTTCATGATGTTATCAAGTCTGACTTGTCCCACTGCATTTGAAGCTGCTTCGCTTAAAACATACATGAACTATCGACCAAAAAGTTGCCTTGTTAGATAGAAGATTATTCACTCGAAAAAAATATTAAAAGGATTACCCTTAGCTCGTATAATTTCCTTATTTGTACATTAAGCCAATTTCTTTGTATTGCCCCTGTGGTCATTTTATCCTTTATGTGCAAAAAACAATCACCTCGTTCAACAACAATTCAACAAGTTCTTATGGGGAATACTCCGAATATGCATTTATATATTTTGCTTCTGGATAACTCCACTGATTTCAAGCGAGACTATTCTATTTCAAACGCATGCTTTAACTCGCTTTCGATGTTGTTCATCCCATCTCGTCAATCAAGGAGAACTCAACTTGTGAACGATTATCGGCTGGATCAGTTCGTAAGTTTCTTATGCAAATGAGGTTATGCGGGAACCCAGATCGAGCTGTCCACGACAAAGTCTATCTACGTTACTGATTTATTCAAGGTTTCGAAGATCATTAAGTCAAGTCTAAGGAAGTTATGAGCATCAGGATCAGAGAAAATGTCAATTTCATTGATGGTTTCTATTAGATGGGCAAAGATTTCATTCAGAGAACGAGACCCGCAAAATATATACTTGAATATATTTGTACTTATATTATTAGCCTGCATATATCGCAAGTTCACAAGGAATTTAAAGTAAAGAAAGCGCCAAGAAAATTCGATATGGCGAATTTACTTTGCTTTTAAATTCCTTGTGAATATATTTGTACTCGAATCCTCGTAGCGGCACCATAGAGTACCACTGTACATAGCATGATACAAAATTCAGAATAGCGTGTGAGATTTTTTAATAATCTCAGTTAGTTCCACTAAACTTTAGTTAAGTATCGGTTGAATCATATTTCCCTCCCTAAAATGTAAACAATTATTTTGATAATAATTCTAGCTCGCTTTTCATGTCGCGTATTTTCGGACAGAGCCTTTTTTCTCCACATCTCTATAAAGACCGTTACTACCACCCCGCTGTGTTAGCAATGATCGTGAATGTTGGCAACAGTAAAGACTGGACTTGGTAAAAGGCTTGAATGCTTGGCAAACGAGTTCTCACGCAGCCCTTTACAATTGAGACCATTTCAATTACGATTTAATTTTATATTATATAATTTCTACCATATGCAACCGCCAGGAGGGTGTGGGTTAATATAGTAATAAAGAAATTTTGACGAAGTTTACTTGCGACCAGTCCAGTTGTTATATAATAAATGATTTTTAAATGTAATATATAAATTATTTTAGTTGGGTGAATAAAATGATTTTATTTTTATTTCTAAATTGCTGAAAGGGTTGTTAGTTTAGTGACATTAATCTGATCAAGTTTCTAAATTTTCTATCATGCGTGGATACTTACTTATCTTTCACTTGATTAATTAAATAATAATTTTTATCTTCAATTATAAAATTTTATCTAAAGCGCTTCTTTTTAAACAATTCAATATACTTGAAAAGAAAAATATACAGCACGATACGGTAATTAACCAATTTATTATTTTGCGATTTATATTATATAATATCATTGTATTCGTAATTTTCTTACGTAAAAAATGATTGTTTCTTTGCCTTTGCACCTATACTCGTATCTGTGGATAAGAACATTACAAGTAATTAATCTAAACATTCGTGTTTGAAACCTTTTCAAATTCCATCTCGTCACTTGAGCAGCCATTTGAAATGTAATCAAATGACCTCATATTTTCCACTTCGAGTTGTGAAGGCCATCAACGAAAAGTAAGTATTATGCGTAAAAGAATCTTAAATCGATAAAAAAAGTAATTCCAAATCCCATCCTCGCTAGATTTGTTGAGTAATTCTTATAGCTTTCAAATGTTGATCTACCCATTCTTGTTAGACTTATTTCTTTATAAAGTGAAGTAAATGTTTTGAGCGAGATTTATAAGCATTGGGAGGAAAACTATTTTCCTTGCAAAGGCTAAATGCATGGAACCTAACTAAGCTATGGTTACAGAAATAAGCCACTGAAACCACCAAACACTGAACATACATAGTCTGAATACATAGAAAAATTGCACAATGCGAGGACTAACTATAGTGATTTTTACGTAAGGCAGTATAGCTGAACACGACAACACGTAGACTGGCAAGTCATTTTTCCGAATTATGATGTAACTTGAACCAGGAACGTGAGGACTGCTAGTCATTTTATCGTATGATGACTTAACTTAAACCAGGAGACTGCGGACCATCTAGTAATTTTATCGTATGATGATTTAATTTAAACCAGGAGCATGTGGACCAAGTAATCATTTTTCATCATATGATACTACACGCAATGCGACTCTTTGTCGTAAACCGATTCCGACCAAAATCTCCAAAATTATACTACGAATATATTATCTTAGAGAAGCCAAGAATTCAGTGTAAAATATTAAAGATTTCCGCTTCATAAACAACATGAGATAATCGGATAATCAACTCACGGATCAGTTAGCATGAATGTCTAATCGCGTTTACCAAATAATGTAAAGTAAATAGTTGAGGTGTATATTAACAGTTGGATAACCAACTATTAATGCATGTTCTAACTTAGCATTCGTGCTGAGAAAATAACCAGATCAGCCGCTATACTTTTTTATTTTTTTTTCTTTTTCTCTCTTCTTCTTCTTTTTGCCACACATTTCCTACTACACACAGCAATCCCCCAATTGTGGCCTTTTCCTGTGTGTATCATTAGTGTTTAAAACAATCTTACATTAGTTTTACCTAGCNCGAGATGACATCACATCCTCGTAAGGTGGCGGCCACACTAGACTCTGTCTCTTATACACATCTAGATGTGTATAAGAGACAGCGGTTGAGCTCCTGGGAAAAACGGCTCGAGTGAAAACTTTGACCTCAAACCCCCCTGTTCGTGATTATACAGCAGCAGCATATCAAAAGTGGAGAGTATAAGTTTAGCGTCCGCTTCGCTGGCTGTAGGCACACAGAAAGTGAGCCGCTCCTGCCGAATCAAAAGTGGAGAGTATAAGTTTAGCGTCCGCTTCGCTGGCTGTAGGCACACAGAAAGTGAGCCGCTCCTGCCGAAGAACTTATTTTTAATCGGTAAAGGATTGATAAATTTTCAGCTTATAATTAATTAAAAAAAATAAAATTTCACTGAACTTCGGGTTAAAATTTACATGCCGAATCATTTATATGCCGGCAGTATCACGACCACTGAATCACACATCATATTCCTAGATATTACTCAATATGCGGAGCGTGGTGAGCGTAAAGAATTTAAATACTGAACGTAAATTGGGTATAAAAAATTCTTGATGCCGTTTGCCCGAGGCGAAGATGAATTCATTTATGCATCGTGATTTAATTCCGACACTTCGTAAAAACCCATAATTGAGCCGGTGCTCGAGGCCGAAAAAATGATAAGTTCTAGTTCAGCCAACACGGAAGCCAGAACGCTGGAAACTTCTCCGGTCTGATTATCTGGTGTTTATCATCCGTATTTATCACTCGTATTTATTGCCCGTATATATATATCACCTGAAATTATCACCCGTACTTATCACCCTTATTTATCACCCAAATTTATCATCCAGATATATCACCCGTATTCATCACCCGTATCTATCACCCACATTTATCACCCGTATTTACCACCGGTATTTATCACTCGTATTTCTCACAGGCAGTTATCACCGGTATTTATCACCGGTTTTTATCACCGGCATTTATCACCCGCATTCAACTCCCGTATATATATATATATCGCCCGCATTTATCACCGGTATTTATCACCCACATTTATAACCCAGATTTATCACCAATATTTATCACCGGTATTTATCACCCGTATTTATTACGGGTATTTATCACCTTTATATATCATCCGCATTTATCACCCCTAATTATCACCCTTACTTATCACTCGTAATTATCACCCGTATTAATCACCTTTATATATCACCGTATTTATCACCCGAATTTATCACTCGTATTTATCACCCGTATTTATCATCCGTATTTATCACCCGTATTTATCACCCGTATTTATCACCCGTATTTATCACCCGTATTTATCACCCGTATTTATCACCCGTATTTATAACCCGTATTTATAACCCGTATTTATTACCCGTATTTATCATCCGCATTTTTCATCGAGCGTCGGACATTTTTACCCTAATGAGGCCAACAAATTTACTCCTGAAACTCAATTTAAAACGCAGCAGTAAAATTTATTATCGGTTTGAATTAAAATGAACGGCTCGTATAGTGCAAGTTTACAGCCGCTCATAAATTGCCGGACTGGAAGCTATTTTTCATGCCAACCGTTAGGCAATAACTAAATGAATTATTTTCATTCTAATAATAATTGAATTGATTATGGCTCGACGAATCAACTAGAGTTTTTATGTAGTAATTTATTTTCTGCAAATTTCTGCTGTGAAACTATAAATTTTCCACGCATTAGATATTTCAGCTAATAATTGTTGGCCCGATCAGTTACAGAGGAAAATAAAATACTCGTTTTATTTTGATAAATTAAATAAAATTCTAGATTTAGATGACGTTAAATTTTAATCCATTCCTTGACCGCTGAAATGGATACTTAACAACTAAAAAAATAATTTTCATTCTTTTCCGAACGCTTCCAATTTAATCAGCCGACGAAGTGCTAATTCTCTTAAATATCCTATCATAAAGCGCCAAATTGCCGCTTAACCATATAAAATTAATTTTCCAATTGAATTAATTTAAAAAGCTGATTTAAATTGAAAATTAGCCCCGGATGGGGCAAAATATGGCAAAGTACTGAACCAATAAGATATACAATTAAAATTTATCCATTTAGTCTGTAATTAAATTTTCAAGCAGTAGTCGCTAAAAAGTCATAATCAGTCTCACGAAAGGTTAATATACTTCTTGTTAAAGTTGAACTTTATTTAAACTTCTTCTAACCAAACTTTCCTCACATTCCAAAAAACTTTCATGCAATCGGAAAGTAAAGGAAAGAAAAATCTGCCTGATTTGATGTAGTTCACGTGTATAAAAAAACGCGGCACAAAATATAAGTAAATTTTAAGGTAGCGCAATTATTTTTATTAAGACAGCGCAATTATTTTTTCTCGGATTGGAAGAAAGCAACTCGTATCGAACGATATTGAGTGCCCGCTGGCCTTGAGCACACAGCTGCTGCTTCATGATTGTGAACAGTGCCCACGAACAATAAGCATTGTTTTCTATATCATATAATACATTATTGTATTTTTAGAGCGGGTATAATATTATAAAATTATAATATTATACACATGATAATGTGTATAATAGTATTATATTTTGTATATTTGTATGACCCACGTATTGTATATTTTAATTCTTGTATAATATTGTGAAAGCAGTGTATTATGTTGTATAAGTAATGTATTATACAATAAAAGGCATACATTATGTTATTAAAGATGTTTATATTATTGAATAAGTCATATATTATACTGCAATCCAGTGAATCATATTGCAGTCAAGTCACACCCCAGCACGGAGCCGTTATTAGCTATCGAATTAAATTGTGACGTAAAAACGTGGATCATGAATGTGACGTTGTGTGGTTAAGTTCACTATATTGACGTAACTCTTTCATGGTATAGGTCACTAGTGACGTAACTCTAGTAATGTATATATCACTAGTGACGGAACTCACATTTATCATGAATGTGGTGTTATATGGTGGAGGTCAGTAGTGACATAACTCGCGTTGATCATGAATGTGACGTTTATGGTTAGGTTCACTATGTTGACGTAACTCTTGTATTGTATAGGTCACAAGTGACGGGACTCACATTGATCAAGAATGTGATGTTGTATGGCGGAGGTCGGCTCCGAGCAGCACACTTGAAGACAATTTCACCACCCTCCTTCACCATCACACTCGCACCACCAGCGTGCGTGATGGTGTGGCCCTGCGAGCCTGTGTCCAGCACGCTCAGGCGCGCCTTCGGGACCGCTGATGACAACACAAACTTGAAATTAATTAATCCAGCATCAACTTTAATGTACTTCGTATTTTGTAAATAGTGTTAAAAAATGTTAAAGCGTTACACCAATGCTAGAGAAAGAGCAAAGCAATAAGCCGGCAAAGCAACATAAACGCCAAAGAAGCAATCTATTTGAAAACCTCTGTAACGAATATATGTTGATAGATGAAATAAACATTTTGAATGTTTTGCTAAGACAATTTGGTATGTGTCGACTGAGAAATCGATTATAACACACAGGGTAAAATGTAGTAACCTCGGTGAAAGCTTTTATTGTGAATATCGTATAAACGTTGGATTAAAACTATTACTTAAAATGCGTGCAGAAACGCATTGAAAAATTGCATGTCGTGAAAGTTCCTTCGAGTAGGTTTTATTGAAGACCGGAGAATTTGTTTCTATGATAATGATTGGATTATTTTTCCCAGTGAATCGACCAATATTTTTTGGTTGCACAGAAAAATGTTGAAATTCAGGTACTTTCAATGTTTCTTTGAAGAGTGATAGGCAACATGAGATAAGCAATGCAAAATTATACAAAAATCAAATAAATCAAGCATCAGAAATCTATAAAAAATTTTGCCTTGTACCGGCTGTCTCCTGCAATTAAGTTTTCGAAATGGATCAATTTGAACTTTGGACAATAAATCTTGTTGCCTTTCATATGCTAACAATTCAATGTCAGGCTGAGAGTGATGCACTGAGATAAAACTTTGAATGGATCAATAATTTATTCAAACGAAATTCAATCAGAGTTAAGCGCACAGAAAATGTCGCAAACACAAATGAATTCGATGCTCACAATACATGAGGATGAGGATGGACACATCGGTGACGGTTGTCTCCCGCCACTGCGGAACGTTGGCGTCACTGTTCCTGAGTTGGACGTTCTTGGTGAGATGCTTCAGCTGCTTTAGGTCTTCGCCGCGGCCGATATGCCGAGCCAAGAACTCGTGTGGCTCAAACGTGCTGGAAACATCGCGATTATCTTCTTTAAGATCCTCTCTCGTGTAACCTGCATGGCCAAATTGCATCACTGGATCCCCTTGAATCACTGGAATCTCTGGCATCACTGGAGTCGCCTGCATCACTGGAACCTCGTCGGACGGTTTATGCACCTCCGCAAAATGCGATTCCATTGCAAGCGAATCTGCTTCTCTCGCGATCAAATTCTTCCTGTGACGTCGGCCGGTCATTGCATGCAAAACTTTGGAACTTGTCGCCGGTTCTTCAACAGTATTCCTTTGGTCCCGTAACTTCCGTCGGGTCGTTAGTGTATTGTTTCCCACTGAGCCTCTGCTTCCAGTTGAAAAATTATGATAACATGTCCGGTGATCTAGAGGTGAATTTGTTGCGGTGTACAAATTATCCGAAGTTGTGTAATTCTTTTCCATAATTCTAAGATGTTGAAGCTCTCGACTGATCCTTGAGGCAAGGCCATTGAGTTGAGAAGAATGAGGCACAACTTCCTGTGATGGAAAGTTGGTCATAAGAAAACTGCTCGCAACATCGTCAGCTCCGTCCATTTTTGTTCGAGGACTTGCAGGATGAACATTACTTTGCGCGGGAGTTGACAGCGTACTTTCTGATTTTTTAATGGTATCAGCAAGAGAATTTTCCTTATTATTCTCAGTATCTTGGGGTATAGGATGAAGAGCCTCGCCGGCATCAACAAATGGTGGGGTAGGTGGATAATATGGATTAATATCCGTGGTGGTGAGGCGACACACGAGGTCGCTGTGGTCGTGGGATGAATTGAGGGTCAAGTCCAAGTGGGTGACGGCGGTGCCCTCATCGGGGGATCTCCATGAAGAGGGAAGAGGGTAGCCCTCCAGCAGCCACTCGAGGCTCTTCAGTCGCCCAGCTAAAAGAGGATTACCAAGTCAGTTCGAGCACAAACGTAACCCAAGAATCTCAGGCACGCGAGGAAAATATCATGGAGAAATTTATCTCAGTTTGAAGTAAAGTAAGTATAATTTTCATGCATCTAAAATCATTGAATATTTACGCAAAAAACAGCTGATGATAAAAAATTTAATGACAGATGAAGAAATACTCAAGATTTTCTAATTAAATTTTCAAATTAAATCGAAAAAAAAAATAAATTTGAACCGGAAGGTCTGATAACGAAAGTTACCGATAGAAGAAAAAGAGTTGTAAATGATAATTCAATCAATGTTTCAATGTTATTCAATGTAATGAATATATTGACGTGAAAACAAAAATGTTATGGTCTCTGCAATTTTTCTCACATTGACAACGTTAATAAGCTTATTTAAATAACTTCCAGTCGTGACAAGTATAATATATCACATCCATCTTAAGCCTTAATTTGAACCCTTATTCTTATTCAGTGAATAAAAATAAGATCGGCGGCAAATAAACGAGTAACAGAACAACAACCGTCCCGAAAGACGCGACTGGCAACTTTCAGAAATAAATGTTTCGGGAAATATTGACTTTGGTTGAGAGCAGCGTGTGTCCCGACACACGAAGTGCACAGCGGCGTGTGTCCCGACACACGAAGTGCACAGCGGCGTGTGTCCCGACACACGAAGTGCACAGCGGCGTGTGTCCCGACACACGAAGTGCATTCCCAGCAAATTAGCTCTGCGTCTCATTTGCACGTCACTTCGCCGCGACGTCAGGAGGCTTGTTTCTTCAGTAAAATAAGAGCATTTCTGCACTGCACAGCTGCATAAATGTATTTCAGCACTGTGTAAAGCACCAAATAAAATTTTCGCTCAATTACCGACACAAAAGGTTCCCCATTTTATGATTGTAACGATAATGACGTACACTTTGTTTGATGAACTCAACTTATCTATGTTTAATGTCTGCCTCTATGTCTTGCTATCATGGAAAATAGTTACCTATACACTTTACTTACTCATATTTATCGACGACGAACGTGTAACATCGCAATTGTATTTAGTTTCTTCTTATAACTGAGTGATAAAACTGCTACAAGAAAATCTCTTCCCGCAAATTCGCTTGTACAAGAAGATCTTTGTCACTAAGAAAACAATCCCGCTATGTTGGCCAATAATATTTGTGACTATGTACGTATTTCTTAGCTTGGAGTTATCAGGTTAGCGTAGAACTGGTCAAGAAGTTATATCAAATATTAGTAAACAATAATTATCATGATTGCAATAAATATGATCTGAACTAAGCCCGTTCAAAATGTCTCATAATTGGCTTCATACATTTAATGGATAACTTATTTCGTGAGGGATTAATCCACTAATCCTTCTGATTCCGTTCATTTTTTTTCATTTTACGTTCATTTCTGTGTTTCCATCGCTGGATGCGGACGATGCAGTCGGACCTTTGGATGTAAATTTTGCCTTTCATGACGTAATTGATGAAGTGATTGATGGGTTTGTCCTTGCCATCAGTTCCGCAAATATTTGAAGATATTTTTGTTAATTATTTGCTCTCATTTACAGACGTGATCTAACGTAATCCTCTTGAGTTCAATTAACTAGTTACCAAGACTACAGTTACATTAGTTCGATGGGTACATGAGTTGCGTGTGTAAGTTAAAGTAATTCAATAATATTGTGTACGCATCAGGGACAAAACTAAATGAACTTAAATTTGTCGAAAATGCGAATAAAAAACCTGTGCGTATTTCAAATGTTGAACCATTTTTAATGGTTGCATTCAAATTCATTAATTGATGGTGTTGAAAACCAGTTAAATATAAGATTTCGATTTAAATTTGTGTTGAAATTTAAATTTTGGTGTATACATTGATTAAATGTGGCATCATATATATAAGAATGTTTCAGCGGAGCGCAAATTATTCCACGATAGTTGTTTTACCAGAGGATTTATATTAGGTGATTTAGAGATGTTGATGGAGGCTAAGCTGATGGAACTCTAAAAAATGAGGGGCCAAATTATTGGAGTAGTGACACACTTATCTATTTCTTACTTACACCACAATGAGAGAGCGCACGTAGCACTGATACGTCCCTTGACCGCACTAACTGAGTCACGATGACCCACACATGAGTAAGAATTCCATCGTTATTTCGGGAAAAATCTCCTCGCTTATTTGAGTAATAAGTTTGCAGTAAAATCAATTGTATTGGCTGAATATTTGTGTGAACAAACACTGAAAAATTACATTGATTAAATTAACTAAATTTCTACTAACCCATCAAATAAACTACTTAATAACACCTTAATAATTTGAGCATGAGGTACAAATAATTCTGCGGACTGTACAGTTATTTTAGTCATTACGTAAATAATGACCAAAATGAACTGAACATCAAGTTACAATTAACAATAATTCTCACAATTATAAACAGTTGAGTTAGCCATTACCGAAGTGTGCACTGCAGGTGAGCAGCAGGCGGTGGCCCTCTGAGAACGGCCCCACGCTGCCCCCCACGGGCCCCCCGCTCACGTCCTGCACTCGCACGTCCAATATCCTCTCTGCACGGTTAACGGGCGGGTACGGTTAACGGGCGGGTACGGTTAACGGGCGGGTACGGTTAACGGTCGGTTAACAGCCAATCACGGTTAATATGTATATTTATCACATAATTTGAAATATGTAATAATTGAATGTATTTTTATTAGAAAATATCCGTTATTTCTGATCAAAGTGTCATCATTTCTGATTTAATTCGGCAGTGTCTTATGTTTAAAATAGATTTGCAGTTAACACCGTATGCGCCCATCCATTTCTCACAGTGGCAACTCAAAAAGAATGATCCCCGGTAACTCACCTACAACAGTGAGCTGCATTCTCAGGGTGACTGCAGGAGATATTTTGAAGTGTACAGTGCATCTGTACTCAGCTTGGTCGTCCTCCTGCACGTATTTGATGACCAGAGTTTGCCCTTCTTCCGCCAGGGAAATTCGCTCGCTTGCCGAGACGTCGTCGCTCCATGAAATTTCGCTGTCAGAATTCGGCGTTTTAGATTTGAAGTTTCGGAGGCTGGAAGGGAGGTTGTCGCCGGGGTGGTGGTGTTGGTAGTGTTGGAATAGTAGACGTTGTTCCTTCGAACCTTCAACTTCTTTATCTTCGCGGCCGTCATGACTGAATTCAGGAAAAGACAAATAAATAAATTAAAAAATAAAATAAAATGAAATAAAATTAAAAAATAAAATGATTTAGAATAAATTTAGAATTAGAATAAATAAGAAGAATCATGCTGGAAGTAAATTTGGATTCTTACATTTTAGATAGCACGGAAATTTTCAGCTGTATTTTTTCAGGCCAAACTCATATTATAAAAATAAACATTTGCTAGATGTCGCTAAAAAGCTAAACTCATGGCAGAATTTGAGGTAAATTATTGAGTCGGAAGCGGAAATTGAGCCTCAAAATAACTTCAAGTGCAACAAAAGTGTTGATAAAATTTCTAAGAATTTCGTTCACCTGCATAAAAAAAACTTTGTAAAGTAACCATTTATTGTGTAACAGTGTAATTATATCGAAATATTCGCAGCAAAATCCACCTGTCAAAAGCGAGGAGGAGGATTGATTGTAATGCACAAATTCATGGCAAGAATGTACTCAGAATGTAGATAAGGAAAAAATTAATTGTTCATCATATAAATAATGAAAATGATCGTTAAAAGCTTAAAACTGTTAGGACAGTTTGACATTCTGCAAAGAATAAGGGTGTGCACAAAGCCAGCAAAAATTATTGAAATTAAGAGTGGAAACTTTTTGAATTATAACTTAAAAAAATTTAAATTTTTTAAGTTATCACACAAATAAGGCTTACGCACAAGTCCTGCTCTTGTGTGTAGACTTTATAACAAAGACATTTGAACAAGACGACTCGCTCTCCACTAAGACTTCAATCAACTTAATGTCACTCGATTAAAATTTATGGAAATTATGCTGTCCAGCCTTCATCGTTGCTCACTGCAATATTATTATTGTTCCCATTACATTGGCTTGCATACTGCCACCCACCGTTTTTATTAATAAAGTTTCAACAAAAATGTAGATTGTTAAAAACATTTTTTTAACAATCTTTTTTTTTAACAATTTTTTTTAACAATTTTTAACAATAATTTTGTAGATTGTTAAAAAAATGATTGTTATAACGAGTAATCCTCATTTGACCTTTGCATCAAAACATCACCCGACATGATCAGGTGATGGCAGCACCAATGATTCATGATGACATGATACGACAACCTTCATCATAAATTTCTATCGGGTTCCCAGAATTTGAAATTCAATTATTGGTATCGCTCATGAGCCGGAGATGAGCAACATCAATCATGATTAGGTGCGATGCGAGGCTGTGTTTTGCGGTAGCATCGCGTGGCAGAAACTGACCGTTTTAGGCGGTCTGGAGCGATAAAAGTTTTTGATAAATAAATTGCCTAACTTATTTTAATCAGGTTCCTAAAGTGTTTACATTTCTTGTGTTTTTACATCGAATTTCTAAAGCGGAGCCTCATTACAGGGACGCGCAAAAGAGACCAATTCGCGTAGGACTTCGCGCACAAATTAATGCAAAATGTTGCAGCCATGTGCATCGTTCAGAAAAAAAAATTAGAATATTACCTGAACATTCGTAGCATGTGCAACGAGATTCTGAGCCTTGTTTCGCTTTTCAAATTCTTTAAAGTAAATGGTTCGCCTTTCAATGGAAAGAGCTGCCGAAAAAAATCTTCTTCCTGAGTCTTGACTTTCTTATAGTTCTGTTCAGAACATCAAAGGTTTTCTGGATATATTTTCTTCCCTTTGCAATCTTAACTTCTTTTGATTGCTAAACGCATTATTCCTTTTATGTTTGAATTGCAACCTAAATATTAAGCTGATTTATCATATTAACGTAATCGATTTTAAGTCATCCATTGAAATATATTTTAAATCAGTTAATCATTACCATTCATTGACAACAGGAAAACATTATATACCTCATTCGTCTCATTCAGCTTCATTTTATTTTTCGGATATTTGTAAAATACTTCCTTGAAAAATTTATAATACTTAAATTTGGCAAGGATTAACCTCCACTGACATATTAATGTATAAGCTGGCTTCCAATTTGTACACAATAGATCACGCACAAATGTTCCTTGCAGGAAGCTAGGCTGGGCAGTTCCCGTCTTCCTTGCTGACTCAGAGGACTACACAATCCCTCATTAAAGCTCAGAGATGCAGCCCTTGAATGATGTAAGCCGGATGATATGCTGGTAATTAGAGCTAAATGTGATCTGCATCTCCAGACTTGTCAATGGTCAGACTAATTGTAGCTATTGGAGCGCAGTCAAGACTATATTCGGGCCCCGAAAATAGTCTCCAAAAGCGCCGTCACCGTAATTGTTATTCCGGTCGATGACCAGTGAGATGACATGGAAAGTTTTCAGATAAGTTGCTGGCATATTTTTAACGAAATATTTGAACGATTAAATTTTGCTTATATAGTCCTCACCTCCTCGAATCTTAAACATGGTTCAATAAAACCTGGAAGTACTTATGGCCTTGGGAACAGAAATCTACAAACCTAGATGGAATAATAAATTATTGTAATTACTTATTTATACTTATTTCCCTTGAGATTCACTAACAATACTAAACTACACCAAATTGTTCCTGTCCTCACAAGCTCGTATCCAAAACATGAATAAATAAAACCTGCAAGTTCATGACCAAAGTTCGGAAATCGCTAAACATGAACTGAATAATATTCACCAACTTTTACTTGGTTGTCAATGATGAATTCCAGTTGGTACCACAGCACCTGAGGAAGGGTCTGGACGTATCATTCCTGTACCACAGCACCTGAGGAAGGGTCTGGACGTATCATTTGCCTCACTCCTGTAATACGGTGGCGTCCTGGCCTCACTCCTGTAATACGGTGGCGTCCTGGCCTCACTCCTGTAATACGGTGGCGTCCTGGCCTCGCGAAGCAGATCCCTATATCCCCGTGTTATTCAATAGCAGCAATGGGAGCTCATTGGTTCACATTCCGGAAGAATTGAACATCGAGTTTCATGCGGAATGTTCGTCCGATCTTCAATGCGCCGCCATTGTAGGGCGCAGAATTGCGTCGCCGAAACGAAACTCCAAGAACATGCACTACACAATTTTTTATTTATGATATATTATATAGATATAGCTTATTTATCTTTATGTCGAATAAATTTATACTTTTCGGCTTGTTATTTATTGAATTATCACGTCTCGTAAGTATCATGTCGTGGTTTTTTCGTGTAACTGTTTTTCCGTGTTTTTATTTTCGAATATTCTTCAAAGAAATTAGTTGATATTAATTATAACTGTTCGATAAGCGACAACAGAAAATAAATTAATGTGGCAAACTGGTGAAATACTTACATACATTTCAGCGCTGTGTTTCAGAGAAACTGCAAAATTTTGTACATAAGAATGAATTAATAAAACTGCCTCATAAGATCCTTCCGTAATATTTTAAAAAGTCCTTGTTCAATATTTAAGACACTCAAAGTCAATGTGATAGTAAATACGTATGTACACTCAGTTATTTCTTAGTGACATAATTTTAAAAACGAAAAAATTGTTTTTTACTGAACTTCACGTGTCAGAAACCAGAACCTCTTGTGAATGTCCACGACAGGCAGACGCCCCAGCTCACCACGAAGTTAGCCCGCAACTTTATTCCCAGCAACGCAAGTTTCCATAAATACTCCGAAACTTTTGCGTTACCCGAGAAGTTCACTTTTCCGTCGTATGCTCTGAGCCATAAAGTTGGTTGCGGTTCTATGCTCAATCCACTTCAAACTGTGTCACCAATTACTTTATTTTCAAAATTAAAATAAAAAAATCTAAATTCTGTGGAAGAATGTCCGTATTTCTAAGTGTATTTTCAAAATTAAAATTAAAAAATCTAAATTCTGTGGAAGAATATCAGTGTTTCTAAGGCTTGGTTGACTTCCGCAGTGATCATTTTCACTCTCCTATTCATTTCATAGACACGTGTTGTTGAAATTCCAGTATTATTATTCCTAAATATTTTTCCGAAATTATTTATCATTAGGGATAGAAATTTATGTTAATAAATGGTTGTGATAGCGCTCAAGTTCTTACTTAGTTTCATATAACGAATATTATGAATAATATCATGTATTGGTATGATGCAATTATATCTTTAGCAACAATCTGTCATGATCCGTTTATTTTTTGTCATTCAGAATGAACATTAAATAATAATATGACAAAATTAACAAAAGAAAGATAACGAAAAAAAGACGAAAAAGAAAGTTAACGACATTCCGCAGCTCTTGCATTCAATTAGACTCTCAGTCAAGATGAAATTACTATAAGCTTTACTAGTACAAAAAAAATCTAAAAAGCAAACTGGAATTCTAATGGATATCATTCAAATTTTTAATACTTTTAACCTTATCTCAAGCATGTCAATAAAAAGTTTACAGCGAAAATAAAGTCACTCCCGGCTTTTTTTCAACTCCTTACTACAGTTGAAAAGGGGGCATATCAACTAATCAGAACATAGAATCATTAACAGAAAAATTAGCCAACTTTATATAAGTAAAATATTATCTACAACTGCATCAATATAGACTAAGAATTCTATAAAAATTAATTTATTATATAAATTCCACAAAGAGTTGTTAGAAAGTATTTATTATAGGTAGCGACATTTTTTAGGCACTGAAACTTCACTTTTTTTAAGCTCGCAATTTTATCAATGTAGCTCTCACCTCGCTTACAACTGTACTCACTCGACTTCAATAAAGCACTCTCCAGTTACAATAAAATCGACGGTTCCAGACGAACCTAGCAGACTAATCATTTATAAGGAAATTAATTTTGATATCTTTACATTCAATCGTTCCTGACTCAACATAAATCAACCATATTTATCAAGGTACTCACCTGTTGCAAGGAAATGATCTCATCAAACTAACCAACTTGTCCTGGTTTTCTCATTCAATCTCATTTTGTAAATAAATTAGTCATGATTTCTTTACTGCCGTTCTCTGCTGAACATCTCTTTACTCGCCTGTTATTCATCAAGGCACTTACCAGTGGCAAGAAATTTACTGCTCCAAAGGAATCATGCACTC